ATTTTAAAATACATTAAATGTAGAAATGTGTCAAGTCAATATTTAACTCAGAAAGGTTTATTCTTTCAATATTTATTGATGCTTAGTAGCTGTCAAATATTGTTTTACATTGGGTGAATAAAAGGTGAAATCCTGATCTTGTGGAGCTATTTAATCTAACAGGGAAATAGAAAAATAAACAAATACAAAAAAACATAGAAATTATAATTAGTGCTATAAATGTAATGCTACAGAAAATGGGAGAATGCTATTTAGATAGGGTAGTCATAAAAAGTCTACGTGGACCTTGAGGTTAACACCTGAAGCAAGAATCAGCCAGACAAGGACAGATCATAGTCTAAAGAACAGCACCTGGGGAAGTCCTGGGTGGGCAAGTAGGGGAAGGAGATCTGGTAGGCTAGGATTTAGGGAGTGTGCAGTAAAGGGAAAAACTGGTTAAACCAATGGGGGTAGGCAGAGACCAGACTATGTAGAAACATGTTGGAACTGTGGTTTCACTCAAAAGTGTGATGGGAAGCCATTTCATTCTTTTAACTAAGTTACAGACAATTGTCTTGGTTACTTTTCTCTCATTGCTGAGACAAAACACCCGACATTCATAATTAAGGAAAGAAAGGTTTATTTAGCTCACAGTTTGTGGAAGTTTCAGTCCATAATCAGCTGGCTCCGAGGCAGGGCGGCAGTGCACAGGGACATTTCAAGGTGGCAGCAGACAGTAAAAGCAACAACAGTAAAAAGGGGGTAGGGGAAGCAAACCTCTTTTCCTCCCTTATACTGTGTGCTGGCTATGGGCCATCTCTGTACCCTCCTCTCCCACAAGTTTAGGATGTTTACAAAGTAAGGACTATGGGCCCCTACTCAGTTAAACTTCTAAACTTCTCAAGTTGACACAATGTATCAACCATTACAACAATGATTAGAGTTTTTGTTTTGTTTTCTAGTACTAGGGATTAAACGCAGAGAGTTTGCATTGACCTACAGCTCTAACCCATTTTTTATTTATTTAATCAGATTTTATTTATTTAACAGATTATTTATTTAATCTTCAGACAGGGGTCTAACTTGCCCAGGCTAGACTCAAACTTGGGATCCTCCTGCTTCAGCTTTCCACAGAACTGAGATTATAGATGTCTGCCACCATCCCCAGCTGATTAGATTTTTATTAAAAATTGGCTGCTCTGATGTAGAGCAATATTATAGTCTGGAGGCAATATTATGGTCTAACTTATCACAGATGTTCCCTTCCTATAAACACATAAAAAGGCTGAATAATACATAATGTTTCTATTTAAATAAGAAAATATATTACAGAACTTAAGAGAAAGCTAAAGATGTAGAAAAGAGGACCCTATGTAATATAGAGGTCATGAAGATTGAGATTCCTACATATATTTGAAGAAAAAAAATCTCATATTCAAAGCCTGAAAGAATAGATCCTAGGAAGATTAGAAAAACTCAGCCTACTGCCCTAGAAAAGTAGTAAGGAAGCCTCGTATCTGTGATTTAAGCAATCTTGACACTTGAGGTTTGTTTGTATTGACAGTAATGACACAGTCAGAGACCACCATATGGATAAAGAACAAACTCCTGGACCCTTAAACTATTATTGAGTAAAAAGCATGATTTGTGTTTTCTTCTGAGACAGTCAGGGATTTAAACGTGGTTTTTACTAAAAACCACCGCTCTTTACTTGGGCCTACAAGGGCCCAATAGGTAACTAAAAGTAGAACAAAGCTTAACGTTCATTTCTGTATCCTTTATTATTTTAAAATTTTGGATATAGGTATCACTCGTTTAAGAAAAGTTGACAAAACAAAATTTATTTACTCTAAATTTATCTAGCCTATCTCATTCTCCTTCAAGATACAGAAGCCAGGCGGTGTCACACCCCTGTAATCCCAGCATCTTGAAGGCTGAGGCAGAAATGAGATAGATTAGGGCACGGCAAAACCCGCTGAGGAAGTGGGTGTGACCTGTTAAATTACAAGATCCCAGAACACATGGGCAGAATAGTTCCCAAAACCCTGCATGTGGACTTCTCAAAGACCTCCAGGTGGTTTTCAGTAGGATGGTCTGACATCAGCCTATGCTGTGGGAGCCCAGCACTGCCTCGCAGGACTCATATATAGAATTCTCACAGGTTTCTGCAAGATTTAGATGGCATGAAAGGACACAGATGCCAAGAAGAACTCGATATTATGGCTTTCCTCACAATATCCCACTCTGTGTCCTCCAGGGTGTACTTTTGCTTTTTTCCACTTTTACTCGGCCCAAGCTAGCTCTACAGAGCCAATTTCTTCACTTTTACTTTTTCTAATAAACTTTGTCACCATTTTATTTGCTTGATTTATTCAATTCTTTGTTGGAGACAGGAAGAATCTGGAATCCAACTCCAGGAGATGTGAATACCACAAAACCCAGTAATATTTACTTGGCAAGCCATTTTTAGAAGGCAATTACCCAGTAACAGAAAGATGTCAAATTCAAGCTCAGCCCGAACAACTTAGCAAGACCTTGTCTCAAAATAAAACTAAATAAAAAGGGGTTAATGTGTATCTCAGTGAGAAGGCACTGGGTTCAATCCCTAGTATCAGGGGGGGAAAAAAGATGGAGAACACCTAGATAACTAAAGCAATTTTGGGGATTCAAAGGGATGCTGGATTAACAACCTTTACAGCACCCAGTTCTACACCATTTCTTGCAGCGATGATTAAAAGTCTCCAGCCATTCTCCTGAACTGGTAGTCACCTTGGTTCCAGGAAAAGCAGAACCTCACAAGACTGAAACAGCTACAATCATTTCATGGGAGCAAAATCAGTGCACAAGCCATCAGGACTCCTTGAGATTGTGAGTAGGCCAGTCTGATCCTCAAGGGACTGTGCCCTTCCAGTTACTAAAGCTGGAGTCTTTTCCCTGTTTTCTTTCTCCTTTCCAACTAGAGCTTTTTGTTGTAAGTTTGTGCGTTACCCTTAATTTCCACTATTATTAAAACAAGAACCATGGTAGCCAGTAAGAGTATCATACACATAGAGGTAGCATCCAAATTCATATTACCAGGTGAAAAAATTACCTTAAATCTCATTTAACACAAGGAATAGTTTTAGGGCCCACCAAAACCAATTGGTGGAGCACTATTTCAACCTACAGTACGAGAATTCACACAAAACCTTCTTTGAAGATTATTAGAACACTGCAGAGTGGAAATTATAATTTTATTCAGATGGCTATCTTATCATTTTTTACTATATCTTATTCAGCTTTGGTTCTCATCCAGGGCAAATCCAAAACCTTTTAAAATACCATTGATTACCATTTCTATTAAGATTACTAGTGGCATACGCCTGTAATCCCAGCATTTTGGGAGGCTGAGGCAAGAGGATCATAACTTCCAGCCCAGTCTGGGCAAATTAGCAAGACCCTGCCTCAAAACAAAACATAAAAAAGCATTAGGATGTATCTCAGTGAGAAGGCCCTGGGTTCAATCCCAGTAACAACAACAGCAAGAAAAATTAACTTTTTTTCAAAAATTAATTGAAACTTATTGGGAATGAATTAAAATATTATGTATAAAATTCAGCATAGGGCACACAAGTTGGTCCAACATTATTATTAAATGAATTTTAAAAAATAATAATATAACAGAATAGCTTAAAAAAAATAAATGAATTAGATGGCCGTTGCCCACGAAAGGGAAACTGAATTAACTACTAGCCTGCCACTGATTCTCATCTACTAGTCTGAAACAGTATAATAATCTTGACCTTAATGTACTCAGTGTTAAGTTCAAAACTAGATGAAATTATCCTAATCCTTCGCAACAGCATTTCCTTTTAAAATGTGTTGAAAAATGAGTTCACATTTAAAAGTGTGCTTGGCATTAGCAAATTTCAAAAACTCTTTAAATTTCCAAAGTTTGAAGATGAGGGGGTAAATCCAAACACCCTTTTCCCTCTCTAATCACTTATCTAAACTAGGTTCAATTCTTTTTTTCGGTTTGATGTGTTATTTTCCAGTCTTCTCCTGTGCTTTGTTTTAAAATATTAACACACTAACGTCCAAAGTCACATGCAAGATTTTCAATTGTAAGCCCAGATACGGTATTGCTGCAGTTACGCAAAACAGCGAGAAACCTGGTTTACGCATCTAATCTGGTCTTTTTTTTTTGTCCGGTACCCGGAATCGCCAGGCAGGCGCGTGTGCCGCTGGGCTATATCCCCGGTTCCTATGTATCTAATCTGATAATGTTTGCATCTTTAAATCTCCCAAACGCTACTTGAAAAGCGGAAACGGAAGCCCAAAGAGGTAAATGTTCACGGCAGAACTAAGCAGGACTTCAATAGGCTCCTAAGATATGCGTCTCATCCCTCAGGGCCGGGCTTTACACGTGTTCTCCGAACCAAAAAATGGGAAATGTTTCCGGGGAGACATTCCAGTAGCCCTTTAGAAGGACTACATATGAGCGACAACCATTCCTAAAAAGAAGCCACTGCGGGGAAAATATTCGGGGAGAAGCGCGCCTGCAAGCCCCCGTTCTGTCCCGTGCACGTCTCCTCGTTGGCGCACCCCAGTCCTGTTCCGAGCTCCCAGCCTCAATGCGGTCCTTCCCGAGTCAGCCCGCAGGGCGCTCGCACCGCAGCTCGCGCCCCAGACACACCTCAGGCTGGGCGCCGGCGCCTCCTCCCCGCGCGCTCCTCAGAGGACCACGGGCAGCCACGCCCTCCCCTTCCGCCGCCGACTCTGCCCCTTCCCAGCTGCCTACCGAGCACAGCCCTTTCTCACAGCGCCCTTTCCCTCCTTTGAGGGGAAGAAGCAACAACAGTAAAAACCAGGAGACAGGGCAGAGGTAAGCGCTGGGAAACGAACCCCTGCGTACTCAAGGCCTGCTCGGGCAGTTTCTCTAGCACTGCGGCACTGCCTGAGGCAGCCTCGACGGGACCTGCGCGCCAGAGGGGTGTGGGGTGGGGTAGAGAGTGACGCGCTGATTGGCTGCTTTACCGCGGCCTGGAAGAACCCGGATGTGCCTGGCCGCCGAGTTGGCAGTCGGGGCTGAGAGGATTGGGCACTATTGGGGTACGCGCAACCTGGGCGAATGGCGCAGGGTTGGGCGGGCTTCTCTGAGGAGGAGCTGAGAAGGCTAAAGCAGAATAAAGGTAACGGACTGTGAGTGCGGAACTCTGATTCTCAGGGCTAAGGGGAAGGAGCAGGGTAGCAACTTGGAGAAGGGGGCGTGGAAGGAGCTGTGTTGGCGTGCGGCTGGAGCTCTGAGTGGGCGGCCGGGATTGATGGGGCTGCAGAGGTGGACAGGCGCGAGCCGCGGGGGAAGGGCGGGCCCAGGGAGGGAGAACTGGGGCATCGTTTCCGGGGAGTTCAGTGTGTCCTGTGAAAGGAGTGGGACTTGGGAGAGGAAATGAGTCTGCTGCCGAGTTGTCCCTTACAGGGTGTGTCGAGTCAAAGAGTAAAGGAGGGAGGCACCGACTGTAGGAGAATTTATAGAAGGTAGTTACTGGGCAAAAGGGATCGAGAGACTGGGAAAACCCCGAGAACGTTGGTTGCCTTTTTTATAGTACACCTGGAATATTGCGTTGTCTTCTGGTTGCCAGATGAATTTTCGCAGTTGTTTCCTGCTGTTTAGTGTCAGCAAACCGAAAGAGTCTTTGAGAGGTCAGATGTGAAGCCTTTCTGTATAAAAATTGTACGTGCGTGCGTTCATGCGTGTGTGTGGACAGCCCTGGCCCTAGTTTCAGGGTCAGCTCAGACTTGTGCTTTACCTCCTGATTTACGGAGTAATCATCGAATGAGCTTGATTTTTAAAATATACTTTGATGAAGGAATTAAGTTTAATACTTGGCAGAAAACTTAATGATATGAACTGTGCTTTGCTTGCCACTGAAATTTCATCAAGATATGTGCGGTGTACCTGGTTGTGAACAACACTGGGAAGTTTGCAGCCACTGCTGGTTCCGTAATTTAAATACTACTTTATTTTAGAAGAAATTATAAGTCTTATCGTGCTTTTTATGTTTTTAGGAAATGGGATGTAGTTTGGGTAGCCTGTGCATAATTTAAAATAATCTGGGGCTGAGAATTGGAAAAGGAAATAAATTAATAACTCAGGGTCAATGTAGATTATCTAGATTGTGGAAATTTTGACCGGTCAGAGATCTTAAAAGATTATACGTATTACTACGTATGGTTTGCTGTCTAGCCTGATGCGTTCAAATTCTTTCCCTATGTGATTTTGACATCCATTCACATATCCAGATGTACACAGTACAGGATACCTTGTTTCAGATCTTCCAAGTTCCAGGTATTGGCTTCTGCGTTAAGGATACAAACATAAACAAAGCATCATTTTTGCCATCAGAGTTTATAATCTAATGAAACAGACCATGAAATAAAGTGAGAGTAAATGTTGTGCAGGAGTTACTGCCATAGCTAGGAGGAACCCCATTCAGCGGGGGATTAAATGGAGCTTGGACATTTTCCACAGAGATTATGTAATGGCAGAGATGAGTTTGCCAAGACAAAGAAGACTTAAATGATAGTCTAAATTAATTAAAACATTTGTTTTGTTTTTAGAGGTAAGTGATGGGAAACACCCAAACATGGTAGGAAGTGATGGGAAACACCCGCATGTGCCGCTGCTTCTGGCTAGAAATTATATTGTATAAAAGTCACATTTTAAATTCTTTGCAATTTGGGACAGGTAGAGAGTAGTTAAGGATCTGAACTTCAGAGTCCATGTTTTGATAGTGCGATGACAGAGCATGAACACCAACTCACTATCTAAAGCACAGAGAAAGTATCTTAGATCATTATATATCCATCCTCAAACATAGTAACTTGGATGAAGACTGCAGCTCTTCCTCTAAATCTTTCCCCTTTTGTTTAACAGTTGTAAAAGTCTAGGAATTGGATCTTTAATTTTTAGGTCCATCATAGCTATTCTCCAACCTTTAAAATTAAATAATTTAGAAAGATGTGATTGGTTGCAAGCAAAAATGAAGGTAATATACTCCAGAGACACTTGAATATACATTGGGGAATGTGGTTAAGAGTGTTCTTAACAGGCTGTTTATAATTTTAAAAAGAAATAACCAAAGTGTTCCTTAACAGGGGAGTGGATAAATAAGTGCTGTAGTCACTGGACTGATGAAAACATGTATAAATTCTATAAAGATAACATACAAAAGGAACAAGTGTCAGGCAGACCTGATACTACTTGTATAAGATTGAAATGTAAAGCTGGTGTGTTGTTTAGGTATAGAAGAAATCTGTAGACTGTCAAAGGAATGAAACAAAATTCAGGTTGATTAGAAGGCAAGGGAATGTGGTCAGGGAGGGCCAAGTACACAGAGAATTTCAGATGCATTGGTGAAGTATTAGTAATTATGAAATTAGGTTAAAGCAAGTTAAGCTGAAGTAACAATCATAAAATATCAATTGTTTAATAATTTTTCACTATATTGTCATGTCTAACTTGGGTTGCCAGGTGACTCTGCTACACAGTGACTTCACCTTGTCTTTTGGTGCTGTCGTATGGGGAGTTCACCATGGCAAGAGGAAAAGAAGATTGAAAATTGAACATTAGCAATTAAATGCTTTCACTAGTAAATGACCTGTGTCACTTCTACTTATATTTCATGTAATAAAAGTAAGTCTTAATTTGGGAAGGCAGGAAATGAAATTTTCTTATGTTCCAGAAGAGGAACAATATTTCTCTCCTTGAACAGCAGTTACACCTAGTATTATCATATTTCATTTTTCTATCCATATAAATTGGAAGAGAGTGTGTGTGTGATACATACATTTGATGTGTAATCTATCTTTTAATGAAAAAAATTAGAATTAAAACAATGCAGCTATGTGCTCTTAATTTCTAGTTATAATATTTATTTATAAAACTTATTTATTCCCACCACTCCCTGGTACTGGACATTGAACCCATACCTTGTACATGCTAGGCAAGCATTCCACCAGTAAGCTGCACCCCCGCACAGCCTCAAGACTATTTTTGAGGGGGCTGCCATACTGATATTCCCCCATACTTTTATTTTATTTTTTACTTTGAGACAGTTGCAGTAAAGTGCCCAGAAGACTTGAACTTGCCATCCTTTATCCTCCTCATCCCGCAGTCCTGGGATTACATACATGTCACCATACCTCGCTTACAACTTGTCTTTTAACTTTTATCTTTTGGTAAACAGTGTATGTTTAATTTTAATATATTCAACTTTGTCATTCTTTTTTAATAACCAACATTTTCTGTGGCTTAAGAAACCAGTCCCTTATTTCAAGGTCTAAAAGATGCTAATCTTCGTGTTTTATTTAGAGGCTTTGTTTTTCTGTGATGTGAAGGATGTATCTAATTTTATCTTTTTCATATACATAACTATTTTCCACATGTTTATTAAATAATCCCTCTGCAGTCAATTTGCCATTATGAGGTCATATATCAAGGCTTTACACAAGTATGAATCAGTTTCTGAATTCTTTATTCTGTTTCATTGGCCATTTCACCAAATACCACTGTTACTTAAAGATGTATTGTAGTCTTGATGTCTAAACACTCTAGTTCCTTTGCTCTTCTTTAGACATCTCCTTACTGTTCTTCAGCATATATCCTATCATATAAAACTTGTAATAAAGTTATCAAATTTCATAGAAAACACAGAAATTTTATTAGCATTGTATTGAATCCACTACGGGGGGAGCCAGGTGTGGTGGCACATGCCTGTAATCCCAGCACTCAGAAGGCTGAGGCAGGAGAATTGCCACGAGTTTGAGGCCAGCCTGTATTATCAAGTGAGTTCAAAGCTAGCCTGAACTGCACAGCGAGACCCTGTCTCAAAAAAAAACCTAGTATGATTCCAATATGGGGAGATTTGACATCTTTAAATTATTAACACTAACGCCAACATGGTATATGTTACCATATATTTAGGTCCTAGACATCTTGACTCTTGCTGGGTGTGGTGGTATAGGTCTGTTGATCCCATTGCCCTAGAAAGCTGAGGCAATAGGATGGCAAGTTGAAGCCAGGCCCAGTGATCAGTTGCCAGTAAGACCAAAACAAAAATTTTTTTTCAAAAACGTTTTATAGGGGTGTTAGTTTTATTCCTAGAAACATTATAATTTCTGCTATTGGAATTCATTCACTCATATTCTCTCTCACTCGTGTGTGTGCTAATGGGATTGAACCCAGGGCTTTGCACTGAGCTACATCCCCATCCTTTTTTATTTTTTATTTTAAGATGGAGTTTTGCTAAATTGCCCTGGGTGGGTTTGAATTTGCAGTCCTCCTACCTCAGCTTCCCAGAGTGCTGAGATTACAGGTGTGTGCCACCATGTCTGCCTGAAATATTCTCTCCTAAATTAAGGTTTTTGGATTTTTTGCCACTGATACTATGAGAAATACAGACAAATCAGAAACCAATCAGGCATCCATAGATAATACATAAAAAGGAAACATGAAGAGATATTCATTACTGCTGATGAACAGAGAATTACAAATCAAGAGTACAGTGAGATGCCACCTTATACTTCCTGGATTAAAATTAAAACATCTGACAAAAATGAAAACATTTGACAGTGTCCTGTACTAAAAAGAATGCATCCACAGAATCTTACACATTGCTAGAGGCAATGTGCTATGGAAAGCAATGTAACATTTCTTCTAAAGTTACATTTTTTATGACCCAGTAGTTTCTAGATATTATCTGAAGCAAATTTTTGCACATAAGGAGCCATAACAGCAAAGTTCACAGAAGCAAAACCTGGAACCAACTTAAATGTCCATCATTGGAAGATCAGCAGACTCTGGTTTATTCATACAATATTCAGAATGTATGACTACAGCAACATGAGTAATATGGATGAATATCAGCAATGAAATATTAAGATGTGTATGTCATGATATCCATTTTATATAGTTAAGACAACCAAATATTCTTAGGAATATTTGCAGATGCAGTGTGACTGATAGAAAAGGAAAGCAATGATTAACACATGGTTCATATCATAGTTATCTTTAGGCTTAATGTTTGTTGCCTTTATTTTGAAGTAGGGCCATGTGCTACTTCAGACATAGACATTGAAATTTTAGCAAAAGTGTTATGTCACTAATGGGTCAGAGCAATTAATTGCTGTAAAAGCATCTTCCTCAGCTCTCTTCCTCTGTCGTGGTGGCTAACAACACTAAATGGTTACTTGGAGCCGCGAGAGACTGATGAGGAGAATCCCCCTCCTGGCCTGTAAAATTAGCACATGACATTAATGAGAAATAAACCTTTGTTGCTTAAATCCACTAAGATTCCAGCATTGCTTCCTCTAATAGCATAGTCTAGATTTTCACAATTGATGTTTCTCTGTAGTTAAAAATCAAGATATTTTATATGAAAATATAAAATATTTTAAATATTTTATATTTATGGATTAAATATTTTATATTATCAATTAAAATTGTGAACAAGCAAAATATCTGGTTACACTGATCCAAATTTTTTAATGACAGCTGTTGACTATGATAACCATGACTATCCACTTTACACTAGAATTATGCTTCTCTGTTTGTCTTCTTAATATATGCAGCCCCTAGAAGACAGTATATGAAAGTGTGGATTTTGGCTTGTTTATTGTTTGGGAATGAAAAAAACAGCAGTTTCATCTTATAAGTAGGTTCCATAAAAATGCAAAGTAAAGTAAAAGCTAAGCTACAGTAACTTAGTTGCAGAGGACCTATTAATAATTCAGGGAATGGTTTCTGTTGCGAGATATAGGAAGATACTTTGCATTTCCGGGTAAAGTCCGTAATGGCATTGACTTTTGATAGTATTGCTAACTTCTTCAAAAATATTTTCTATATATATCTCGTATAATTCTTACATTAACTCCATGAGTTAAGGAGAGCAGATAATTTGCAACTGGTTTGGCAGATTAGGAAACTGAAGTGTTGAATAGATAAATGGCTTGCCTGAAGTTAGTGAACTGGTCTGTAGCAAAGCTAGGACTTTGACTCCAGAGCTTTTAACTCATTTGGGAAAATTTAAATAATGAGCTTGTGTTGCTACAAAGGTCGAAATGCAGAGTTTCAAAGTCCTATTTGAAGAACCCATAATGTCATTTTCCAAGCGGTTTTATAGAGAATGCTGTTTATAGATCTTATCAAATTTAATATAAATGTGAATCAGTTTCTCCATTTCTCTGCTTTAAGAAGTTAACATTGGCATAGACAGTTCAAAAAATATAATAGAAGAGTTATTATTTAATTATGTTTAAAAATATTCCCCCAATTGTTTTCTCAGGCTATTACCAAAATTAATTTGAGTGCATTGCTATAGAGCCTGGCTAGACTTTGGAACATACAAATTTCCATTGTTCTGCAAGATAAAAGGAAAGAAATGCAGAATTAGCTAGTATTGCTAGAAATAAAAGAGTTTATTTAATTGCATTTATTACAATGTCTACCTGTGTATCAACTTGCACCAAGAACTGTTAAAACTGAAAAGAAGGGAATCCCATTTGACACTGAGCCAGTGTTTTGTTTCAGAATAAGTGGAATCATAAGTCAAACATAAAACACATCAGAGAATTCCATTTTCTACCTAGATAGAAACTAGTCATAGAAATTAGTCATATCTTTTTTTTCCTTCTGTATTGAGGATCAAATCTAGCCTCACATGTGATGTGCAGATGACTTACCACTGAGCTACATCTCTGCTCCGTTATTTTTTTTGAGACAATGTCTCACTAAATTGCCCAGGCTGGGCTGGAGCTTGAAGTCCTCCCTCAGCCTCCCGAATAACTGGGATTATAGCCTTCTGCCACCATGCACCACATGAGTCCACTTTTTGACAGTTGCCTAACACACATAAATGGACTTCCTGTGAAGAGCGGATTAGTTTTTGATAAATATTAGCAGTATGATATAAAATCTACAAAAATGGCTGATTTTGTGTGGACTTTCAAAATAGAGAATGAGGTAGGGTAGAAGAAACTCTAGAACTATTATCGAAGTTCAGTGTCAGTGTTTTCTTAGAGAAATTGTGTTTATTTGTTGCTCACACAAAGGAATTTTCCATCTTTCTCTCTTACGTAGATTCATTTGAGCCACCACGCCGTCTCCCTGTGAAGAAAACCCGACAACAACTTCAGCGAGAAAAAGCCCTACTAGAGCAGAGCCAGAAACTTGGACTTCAAGATGGCTCAGCCTCTTTATCTCCAGGCCAACTGCTTTCTGCCCCCAAACAGAGTATCAGCACTCAGAAACCATATTCTCCCCCGACCTGGACTTGTCCTAGCCCCGCTGCATTCACTTCTCCTGCTGGTGATGGGAAACTACCGGGTACTGAAAGTCAACCCAGGGAAACAGGACTTGAGAATTCCCATGATGGGCATGAAAACTTGGAGGTTCTGCCTCCAAAGGCAGATTGCAAGTTGGAGAAAAAGAAAGTGGAATTGTTAGTAAGTCTATTAAGACTTTTACTTACCTTTTTTACCTCCATTGGGCTTTAGGGAAATAGGGCTGGTTGGTGGGTTTTAACATTTTCTTTGTTTTATATTCAGGCCTAGAAATGTGGTCCATAATCTACTAAAAAGAAGATCCATCTCCATGTAGTATGAACTAGGCAGTTCCAGGCATTTTATAGGTTTTATATCATTTAGTCTTTATAACAGCCTTACAATGCATGTTTTATTATTTTTACTTTATAGATGAGGCAACTGGAATTCAGAAAGGACATCTTTCTAAAGCTAAAACACAGCTAGTAAGTAATAGAGTTGAGATTCACATTTAAGTGTGTCTGCATTCAGAGTCTGTGGCCAATTATACTCACCAGAAGCAGTTTTAATAGGCGTAGTAGCACTCCCCAAATTGAATCCATTCTTCAGCTTCCAGCTGACATCATCACTGGCCCAGAAAAGGGTATTTATGAAGAAATATGACAGGATGGTCAAAAGGAAGAGTATATAGGAAATTAGAGCAACTAATTATACAATTCATTTACATCACTAGATCTTCCTACTTTCCTTCTTTCCTTTCTTCCTTCCTGCACTAGGGATTGAACCCAGGGCCTTGATACTGAGCTACATCTTCAACCCTTTTTTAATTCTGAAACAAGGTTTCATTGAGTTGCTCAGCCACCATACCCCACTTGTTTAATGTGTTTATATCAGGAAAAAAAACTTAATAATTTAGCCACATTCTTGTGAAAAATGCCATTCTATAATTCATGAATTCTGAAATAGTATTTGAGGAGAAACGGTGGCATCTGTTTTTTTTATTTTTCTGTGTTTTTTTTCTAATCTCAGATATGCTTCTAATCTCTGGTGATTGCAATTCTGTACTTTGAGTTTAAAATGTTTCCTGCTCACCACGAGTTTGTGACCAAGAATTCATTTTGACAAGAAATTCAGTGCTACGTGAATTATGAAACCTACACTGAAAGAGTAAATACATTTGCATATCTCTATGTGGAGTTTTCCAGTAAGGGCTTAAGACCAGTGGAAGCTAAGTCTAAATTGAGCCAACCAAGCTGGACAATTGACAGAAAAATTATTTTTTTAAATCCTTAGGAGAATATTCATGGAAGATAGTGTGAAGCACCATTGATAGAAAGGAAAGATTCTAAGGTTGTCATCAGGGAAAAGGAAAGCTATATTCTGCAGGCTGCTCTCAGATGACATCTGACTTCTCTGGGAGGGGAAAGGTGGACCAGAGAATGGTAGGAAGTAACAGAAGTAGAGAAGTGAGTTCTCTTGAGTTTCCTGGTACAGCCTGATGCCAAGACCTCGGAGGGAAATGAGCAAGCACTGGTTTGAAAAATGCCAGGTGTCAGTGTTGGTGACCATTTGGGAGGGAGGCTGGGTGAGGAGATGCCTACAAAGGTAAAAGTGGAAATGACCAGTGCTGATGCTGAGGTGGAACCTGTAAGAATGGAGAGAAAAGGACAGTTTTAGAAGTGGTTAATAAAGACTTGAAATCATGGCTGCCAGTAACAAGAATAAATAGCTTTGCTCTTGTTTAAATTGACATCAAGTTCATGACTTCATGGGAAATTTTATTATATTTGTTTTAGGATTGGAAGACAATACATATTTAAGATCTTTAAAGTTTTCTTTAGCCCAGTTCCATTTGACTTTAGCTCGTAGTACTTTCCTGTTTAGAAATTGTGTGAGAGATGGCACAGAGTCAGTAAATAGAAAACATATACAGTATATGGAGTAAACATCATCAGCGTCTTAAGGATGTTAAAGTGGTAGGGACTTTTCATCACAGAAAATTTGTAAGCAGAGCTGAGCTTGGTGGCATATGCGGACTGTGAGTTTCAGGCCAGCCTGGGCTACACAGAAGAGTCTCTGTCTTAAAAAAAGTAAACAAATAAACAAACCCACTTTTAAGAGGTTAGACATAACATCAACTACAGACCAATTTATTTTAACCTCCATTTTGCATATGATGCATAATTAACTTACACACATTTCTTCATATACCTCTTAAAAAATGCCATAGTACTCTGGCTTCCAGTTTGTTGAGTTCCTAGGTTATGTACATAGAATTGATTTCAAAGCTTTATGTAAGCCTTTTTACTTCAGATCATAGTCTATTTCTATTAGAACAGAATAATGAGCTGCAGATGGTTTCTCCTAAGAGGACTTTTGAAAGAAAATGTATGTAATTTGCCTAATTACACTTTATACATTGGAGATTGAGGCTTGTAAGGTGTGAAATAGGATAGTCTCTTATAAATTCATTTGTATAACTTTTTTCCTCCCTAGGCAAGAAAAATCTCGTTGGCAAGTACTCCAGCAAGAACAACGACTAATGGAAGAGAAAAATAAACGGAAGAAAGCTCTTTTGGCAAAAGCTATTGCAGAAAGGTGAGGCACCAGAACCAGGAGAGGTTATTCGTAACCAAGTCTCTACCTATATATATATTTTCTCATGGCTGTTCTAATAAACTGCTATTTTCTTTATAGTTGTTACTTTAAAGGCTAACTGAACTATGCTTCCTAAGGGATACTGAATTTCCACTTTTAATTTATTAAGGAGAACTTTTTAAGCATAAATCATAATGAATTTACAAGTACAGTTACAATTAAACCTTGAGGGCAAGCACTAGTGTTTTCAATTGTAACCATCTACATTTTCATAAAGGAAGCAGTAATTAGCTATTAGTATATGTAAGTGAGCAACAGACACAAGATTTTTTTCATTTTAATATGGAAAAGCCTTAAATGATCTGACTTGTAGAGCAGTAATTCTGTGCAAGTGACTTACACTACCACAGGTCTTAATTATTTCTTACATTTTCTTAAGTTTATCCTGTGCCCACTAATACAATATGTAATATAATTTGACCTTGTGTTGGTGACTCAGGCTAACCCTCCTTAGCCATGTGTGAGGTTTGGTTTTTCTCATACCTCCCAGTCTTACTTGGTTAGTGATCGCTTCGCAGGTCAGTAAAGCAGTGGCTGAGAACAGTGTGAACTGACTGCAAATATTTGCTGATGTTTTCCTTTTAGACTTCTTGAAAAATCTGGCAAAATTATTGTTTGAGGCTGGAGTGTATGTAGAGGCAGAGTAAGTTGTAAAAGGAAGGTAGTTGGGTATAAGAGTAATTCAGAATTTTATCTGTCAGAGGGACATGTGTATTTCAAATGCTTTTTCCCTCTCTACTGGTGTGTATTGATCCTCCAGGAGTGTGGGAGGTACACAACTTACTGTGTTTAAAAAATCACTTATGAAAAATTAATGTCCTCTTTTGTTTTCCCCCCACATCTGATTACTTTTGAAAAGCATTTTATTAGTTTTCAATTTTGAAGAAGTATGAATACTGTTTACCAGGGATTTTACAAAAACAATTCACAGGTTCAGCACATCTTAGTACTAGTGATTTAAGACAGAAATGTAAGGAAATGCAACATAATTGAATTTTTAATAACTGGATAGTTAAAATAAGAGTCTTACTAGTAAGTGAATGTTTGTAGGCAGATGTAAAAGATCAATGCATAATGTAGTGGAAATGAGAATGTAAGTTGCACAATCGTGATTTCATGTAGGATTTTTTTTTTTCACTTGAAAGTGAAATTTTGAAATGAGTGAAATCATGATTACAGGTTTATTTCTGTGTTTATTTTGTTTCTTACATATATATTGTACTTTGGAACAGGTAGTGAGGGGACTGAAAAATTATGAAGTTGGATATACTATGAAACTAGAGAAAAAAAGGGTGCTTTGATTTTGAGCCCCACAGTAGTTTTGAGAACCTGTAATTTTGCCTAGAGAACAAGAATCAAAGCAATAAAGGTGTGGGGAAATGGGTCCTAAGAATGCTTAAAAATAAGCCATACATGATGGTGTATGCCTGTAATCCCTCAGCTCTGGGAGGCTGAGGCAGGAGGATCACAAGTTTAAGTTTAACCTGAGCTGCTGAGTGACTTTCAATTAGCCCCTGCCTCAAAATAAAAAATTAGAGGATTAAAGGCCACCTTGTTACATTGTGATGAAAATATGTACTAAAAAAAATTTGGGAAACTACAGGGGAAAACTGAAATGCATCTTAGAGATATATATACCAAAATGCTGATAGCATTTATTTCAACTCTCATTCTTTTCTAATTTTGAAAAAATTGTATACTGCAATTTTATATCCAGATATCTGTGTGTGTGTGTATATATATATCTTGCTTTTTTGCGTATCATACATACTTTTCAAGTGTTTCTTTGTGTTTTTTTCCCCCTCTTCATGTTTCTAACTTTCTAGATCTAAAAGAACTCAAGCAGAGACTATGAAACTAAAGCGGATCCAGAAGGAGTTACAGGCTTTAGATGAAATGGTTTCAGCTGACATTGGAATCCTCAGGAACCGGATTGACCAGGCCAGCCTAGAGTATTCATATGCACGGTAAATTGGGGAAATTGAGCCTTGAACAGGGAATCTGGTTTAATTAATGCTTATTACTAGGTAGGCCAGTGGCTGCTGTATCTTCCTTTAAGTCTCCTAACAACCCCATTAACTAGTGTGTTTATTCCTGTCTTGTGCTAATTTCTGCATCTTCTCTCCTGTAAGGTCTTCCTTAAATCTGCTTCATCAGTTAATGTTAGCTTTGTTTATATGCTTGTTAGAGCATTTTCCTTACCAGTAAGACTAAGTTATAGTCTTACTGGTAAACTTTCAGCTGTTTAATGTTTGGGACCTCTATTAATCTTTCAGGATCTAGTAACGTAAATGTCTGAATGACTTGTCCCAAAACTGTGTTCTTCTAACACCAAGTCTTTCCATTAAAACTTTTAATTATTTATATGGTCTTTATGGAATTGGAGTGTAGTTCTCACTTTAATTTTCATCTAAACAAAATCTAATTATTTTGTAAACTTTATGAATATTTTAAAAGAAAATACCAAAGAATATTGAAACGTTTTCTGTAATTTTTTTTGTTATGATTATACTGTGTACTAAATGGTTTGCTGTATTTGTTTTTAACTATTGACATTTTTTATAAGGAAAAAAATCTTCATGCAACATTTTAAAAATGCACTAACACATGTAAAGAATTACATGGACCTTGCAAACAGATAAAAGGGCAAAAAGAATGTCCAATTTCAAGGTTTCCAGTTCCTTCTACATTGCTTTAATCATCCCAGTTTGTCTCTTTTCACAAGGGAATGCTGTGTTAATGACTCAGTTTTGCATCTCTCTGTAACACTAGAAATCAATCAGAATGCCTCATTAGTCCAGGGTAAACCACAACATTAGAATGTTTATATAACAATTTAATAAGGCGGAAATGCTTGATTGTGGTTTTTAATTCACTGTTTAGTGCTTAAGAAAGAGATTTGTGGTTGTCCTTGTCATACTTGTGATTGTTGTTGACCATATGCTCTGTTGGATGTAATGTAATGGAGCTGCCTTTATTAATTAAGTTTAAATTAATGCCATCAGTAGCTGATAACTAGAGGCTCCTGATTTCTATAATAAGATTGTTAAGGAGGTAACCAAGAGTTTATTCAGATTAAACTAAAGCTTTAATTTTTAGTGCTTTATTCTCTGGAACGACTTTGCCAAAAGATCATTTTTATGTCTTATGGCCTTTTATATGAATTATTCATATTATCAGGTACAGTGCAAGTGTCTCAACAGAGAAATATTCTTGGTTATGTTTTAATTCTGCCCTAGTGGGAGGTGGAAAGGATGCCTTTATGTGTTGAATATGATAGAAGGTATGGCAGTTTAACCTGCAGAGACAACCACAAAGAGGATGGAACTACCAGATAAAGAAGAAAACATCATACACTGTATATTCTTAATGAAATTTTAGTAAATTCTTGTATAATAAAAATATTTTACATAGTACTCTGTCTTTATCAATGAAAGATGTCAGTTTTTCATAGTGCTGTTACTGATATAACTATGTAAATGATGCTTGTTAAGGCAGTTCTTTAAAAAATTAAGCTCTTGAGCTATGAATCAAAGGAGAAGCTTAGATAGTTGTGACTAGAATCAGGGTTGTGACTTATATGTGCATAAGGTTAAGACAACATTTTCTAAATTTGTACTTGTGCTTACTGAGAAATTATAGATTGAAACTGTAGTGTTTTTTTGTTTTTTTTTTTTTTTTTTTTTTTTTTTTTTCTCCGGTACCGGGAACCGAACTCACGACCTTGTGCTTGCCAGGCAGGCGCTTTGCCGCTGAGCTAAATCCCCAGCCCCGAAACTGTAGTGTTATGGTCCAGGTCTCTACTGGAAGATCTTAAGATTCCCTGGATTTTTTATCTTAGTTCTGTAATGTGTGATACAGTGCTGTGTGCATAGAGAGTTCTTGGATGTTGAATAAGTCAGAATCCACTTTAAACCTAGCTTGCGCAGAGCAACTTTAGTATAGTTACTTCTGAGGAGACCAGCACCTGGAGCTCGCAAACTCCGGAGCTGCCACAGCTGTGGTTACTGTGTTACTGTGTGCTGTCTGTGCAGAGCACTTAGCACATTGAGAGTGGCCGTTCATTATGTATACCAGGAAAAATATTTCCTGTTTATCATGTGGGCTAAGTAGACAGCTCATACATACATGCACACAAATATTTTTAACTCACTTTATGAATAACTTACAGAAGTGAGAATAGAAGGTGTCATGGAAAACAACTTCTGTGTGAATGGAAACATACTACACAATTCATATCAAAATATTTGGTTCACTAACATGAAGAGGTGGGAGAATGAGCTATATCCTTTTAGCAATACAGGACAAGACACTTAATCTAATTTATAAAAAAAAAGAATTTTCTTTGTTCTTTAAAAGACTTGGACCTAGGGAGGGAAGAGTAAGGAAGAGGCCATAAAAAGAATTAAGGTGTATTCTGTACATGTACCACCTTCTTGTGATGGTCATAACTACATACTACAAACAGGTGCTAATAAAAACTAAATTTTAAAAATAAACTTAAAAATTAAAAGATTTCTAAGAGAGGATATAAATCATATGCTGGTCCATACGGGGAGTTAAAACTGCTCAGAAAAAGAACTAAAAAGTAAAGGTTAATTAGTGGAACCTGATGCTATACCAGAGAATAATGATTAAGTATAAAAAAAAATCTCAGGGAGCTGTGGCACACACCTGTAATCCCAGCTACTTGGAAAGCCCAGGCAGGAGATCATAAGTTCAAGGCCAGCCTGGGTAACTTGGCTAGACCCTGTCTCAAATTAAGAAGGCCTGGGAATGTAGCAGTGTGAGGCCCTGTGTTCAATCTCTGATGTCACAAAAAAAAAAAGGACAGGGGTACCAAGAGACAGTTTCTAGACTCTTTTAAATAACATTCATTAAATCATTTTATGTTCTTTTAAAATAACAAAACCATTCTATAATTACATTTCCAGTTCAGTGTGTTTCACTGTTATGTATAATACCCTTATTATTCTGTTCTAATGTATGCCCTCATACTGTGATTTGGTATTATCCACCTAATCCCCATGTTAGAGGTGCAGTTTGGGAAACTAATCAATATTTTAAATGTAAATCACTCTGCATGAGAATATACATATATGCTTCTGGACAAAAAGATATTAAATAAATAAACAAAACGTAAAATCTTAAGTGATTTATCTAGGGTGAAATACCAGTAGATATCTAGGGACCCATTTGGAAATGTTAATTTCAATTCGGTATTCATAAGCCTGGTCTGTAAATCTCTACTGACTTTGACTGGCTCAGGGTAACCCAGACTTGCAGAGAAGGCAGGTTTGAGCGTGGCAAGGGACATAATATTGATTTAACTACAGAGAAGCTTGTCAAGGCCCTGAATTGATACGAGAACATTCATTAGCAGGAATGTTATACAATGTGGAGATAAGGATCACTATCCGACAGAGTTCCTTTGGAGCAGTTCTTCTAACAGGAAGTTACAAGAGCAACTGGTTATTAAAGAGCAACTAATTCTCTCATTCTTGTATTAACTAAGTGACAATACAAAAAAAAGATATATGATAAATGAACGTTCTATAAATAAGAATTTTTCAAGTATAAACACCAGCTGTCTCTGTTTTTCATATTACTTTAAATACATGTTTGCTAGTATAGCAATAACTGCTTTTTGACTTCTGGGAAGTTCTGTTTCTCAGGAACCTGCCTGCCAGGCATTAGGCGAGAAGATTGGCCTGTTTGTACTGTCACTGTTTCACAGGTAGGCCAAGACTCAGCTAACATAGGTGCGCTGATTCACCCATCCTGGAGCATTCTGTCCTTGCTTGCCTTTTCTCCAGTCTTTTCCACAAGAAGCTGTGTTTTTTTCACTCCTGACTATTTGACCGAAGATAGGCTGTAGACTGCAGGACTTTTAACCCACAGGCTAACCAGTGGCTCCTGGGCTCTAACATGCTTTCCATGTACCTTTCTTCCCCAATGTTGGAGTGTAATTATTGTTTGTAGACCCTTTTTTGAGAATCTTCTTAAATGAAAAACTAACAGACCAATCTCTGTATTTGTCCTGATAGGAAGCGGTTTGACAGGGCCGAAACTGAATACGTTACTGCAAAGCTAGACCTACAACGCAAGACTGAGATAAAAGAGCAACTCACTGAGCACCTTTGTACAATCATACAGCAGAATGAACTCCGAAAGGCCAAGAAGTTGGAGGAGTTGATGCAACAGCTAGATGTACAGCCCGATGAGGAGTCATTGGAACTTACAGTGGAGGTGGAAAGATTGCTTTGTGAACAGGAAGAAGCAGCGAGGAAGCAAATGGGTCCTACAGAAAGGCTGTGTCAGCCTGCTGTGGAGAGTGTGACTTCAGGGCTTACGAAAAAGAACAAAAACTCTGAAGAACAAGCTGTTTCCCCAAAGGGAGATGAACAGTGTGAACATTCCAGTAGCATCTCCTGTCCTGGTCCAGACTATGCAAATCAAGAAGTTAATGATATTTCAACGGCTCTCACCTCGTGAAGTGCCAGTATTCTTTTCAACTAATATGATATTCACTACATTGTATTTTCTGCAGTAGGTTGTGCCCTGGCCTCTGATAAAACCCTTGTAAAACTGTTAATGTTTGGATCTATAATTAGTATTAATATGTTTGACCTTTCTAATTGCAATTTTATATCTATATGGCACCTTGATTCTGGCCCAGTTCTTTCAGTGTTCTTTTAACTGTTATTACTGAGTTAAAATAAATGACAAAATGATGGAAGTACCTGAAGCCTTTATTCAGTCTTCAACCCCAGAATGGGAAAACAGAAAGAAAACTACATTGTTGGAGTGGCTTTAGACCAGGTACATAAAGAAAACTATACTGAAGCAGAACGGTGACACACACCTGTCAGGCCAATACTTGGAAGACTGAGCAGGAAGATAGCGTTCAAGGCCAGCGTGAGCTATATATATATAGCCTGATAATGTCTTCAAAAAACAAAAAGAGAAAAATGGTATGCATTACCTAGTCAAACCATTTAACTTGCCCTGGGAGAAGTATTGAGAATGGAAGACCTATTTTATGTAATTAGTAAAAGGACACAAAAATTACTGTGTGAAAAAGAGCTGGGTATGGTGGTAATCCCACCATTTGGGAGGATCTCAAATTCAAGTCCCACCTGAGCAAATTAGTGAGATCCTACCTCAAAATAAAAGGGGCTGGGGATGTAATTCAATGCAGAAGGCTTGGGTTCAATCCCCACAATACCGGAAAAAAAGGAGAGAAAGGAGAAAATTACCTCTGGGTCTTTGCAGCCACACTGGAAAGCACAGCTTGAGAATAGTGTAAAAAACAAGACAATTTAAGCCCACATTTTTTTTTTTTGTCCTTTTGGTTTGTATTTAAATAGATTTATTTATTACCTGATTTTTCTTTTGTTGCTATAAACACATGCATATTGGTATAAACATACTATATATGTATGATTTTACTTTTAATATATTTTGTAATCAATGAATTCATTAAATTTAGATAATGAAAACTAAAATAATGTTTTATTGCTTCTTTTGATATATTTTCTTTCTGAAGTTATCTAATGTTTTATATGTTGAACATAAATAATCCTGTCATTCAGCAATTTAGATTGTTAAAATGATGACATCACTTTAATGAATAATTATTACCTGTTACTAATACATGTCCACTACATTATACTCTATGTGATGTGTATATAAATATTATGATTTTGTCACAAAAATCTGTGAGTACATTTTAAATTATGATCTATCAGAAATTTGCATTAAAGAGACTATATAAAGGAATTAATGACCTGTGTAATATTATGTCCATTATGTTAGGGACATAATATAATGGACATAATATAGGACATAATATAATCCTGTTTTAAATGAGTTTGAAGATATTCTGGTAACACAGGTGAGCTTTTGTACTTTTATATAATTTCAGTTGAATGTATAAATTACTGACTTCTCTAAACAAGCATTTATGCAGATAGTTATATTTTTTATTTATGAATAATGTACATAAAGATTGAAAGCTTTGTTGCCGAAGACATTTATTTTTCTACGAAATAAAAAGGTCTGATGTATTTACTCAGTCTTTCATTTACCTTAAAAACAAAAGTTTCAAATAGTTTAATACGTGTTCCTCTGCAATGTGCATCAGTAATGCATGCCAGCATCTTAGGATAAATGGAGCTATCTACTTTTCTGTAAGCCTGTTAAAATTCGCTAATAAAGGGACTTCTATAATACTGCTTAAGTACAGTACCTGCAATCTTAATTCTCAGTTTAAGTACTTAGGAGCTATATGATGAAGTAAAAATCATGAAAGAAGTGACTTGGACAAAACCTCAGAGAGATCTCATATAATCACTTCATTTCCTAGGAGTAATTTCAGGGCCTGAAATTTTAGTGGCACATTTTAAACTTTTAAAGTGCTAATAAAAGTTGCAGCTCTGTGTTCCTGATGTATCTCCTATGTGTCTTGAGTCAGGAAGTTTACTGCAGCCCTCTTCTTGACAGTTCTGCTTTATAATCCATGCAGGGATTTTGTGTGTGAAGTGCTTTCATATATGGTTACAAAAGGTCCACTGAAACCATTATTTAGCAAATACCTTGCTTGGTTTTCCTAGGGTGGTGTCTGAGTGCTCAGGTGATGATGTAAATGACAAAATTGTATTGCACCAGTTTTCTACAAAGCCAACTGTATCCCATGTGTGGGAAGAACAAGAACAAATGAATGAGAAATGGGGGCATATTGATATGAGGACCATATGCACTGGTTTTCCAGAATTGCCCTGTTACATACATCTTTTAAAATGTGACTGAAAGGCTTTGATAAATAAGTTCATGATTACCCAGTAATTGTTAATTTCTGTGAAGGAAATTATTGGTTTAGAATTACTGCTACAAGTTTGTTGGAACACTTTGTAGAACTGTTCTTTTGGTGTTGTCTCAGTTACTTCTCATTGCTGGGACAAAATACCCAACCACCCACAAGTTAGAGGAGGAAAGATGTAGTTTTCAGAGGTTTCAGTCCATATCTGGCTCCAAGGCAGGGTAGCATGGCAGAGGAGAAATAGTTTAAGGCAAGCAACAAGCCTGCTTTCCTTCTGTTCCTTTATATTCCATGCAGGCCACAGCCCATTGATTGGTACCACCCACACCCAGGGTGGGGTTTCCATTATCCATACCCAAAACTATCTTAAGTAAATTATTTCATCACAAAGCATTAATCCCATTATCACCTGCAATCCAAGCACCTCACAAAAGCCCCCACCTGTGAGCGCATGAGGCTTTCAGGAGACATCTAGATTCAAACCATAACGTGTTACATTTCTCTTCCACTTCTCAGCCAGAAGGTACATTTTATATTTAATTTGTATTGGTGTGGGGGTTGGGGAGTAGAGACAATCTTACTCTAGTTTAGGCTGACCTTAAACTCTCCATATAATCCAGACTGGCCTTGAATTTGAGGCATTCCTTTTGCCTTAGCCTCCTGAGTGCTGGTGTAAGCATATGCCACCACAACCAACAGGTGATGGTACATTTTAATGACACGAGTATTTTAAGGGCATAGTCTTTACCAAATTGTAGTAACTTTAACTTACTGTCTTAAAGCATACTTTTATTTGGTTAAATTTGAATTCTTGAGTTTAAGGATTCTTAAACTTTGATTCCCTATTACTTTTTAAAAGGTAGAGTCATTCGTGTGTGTGTTCAGAGAAGCAGAATCTCTTAAAGCATAGTTCTAATTGCATTGAAATAACTTGAGTTTTTAGTTGGATATTTTACCTCTCCATAATTCTGCTGAGTTACAGCCCTTGTATGTGGTTTATCTGTACTCAGTAAGAGCACAGCTGGTTTCCAAGTCATATGATAAAAATCTGTGATTGGAATTCCTAGAGCACGTTTCGTGGCTGGATTGGCATTTGAATTGTAGAGTAAAAACTCAGCTATAAACCTCACTCATTCTTTGTTTGGATTTAGCAGCACAGTACTCTCGAGAAGCTAATCAAGTATTCTGCCACTTCCTCCTCATGCCTTTGGCACAAAACAGACTGCAGTTATTCTGACCTAGGCCATTCTCAATGACCTTCATAAATAATGTTCTGGGTTTTTTATTTCTAAAGAGCTAAGTCAGCATTCTAAAAGGCCCTGATAGATACAACTCAGTTGGCTAGATAAGACCTGAGGCCACTCTGGATCTATGTAATTATACCTTTTCTCCACATAGATCTATCCCAGGCCTGATTTGGACCACTCTCTGGAGGGATGAAGATCACTGTGCTCCAGTCTGCCTTTACCTTAATGTTAGACTACTTATGCAAGCTCCTAATCCCAAGCAGCTGTCCTTAAAATGCCGTGTTACATATTTATGCAATTTGATGAAACTACCCATGTGGACAGCACTATTTCAGATGTATATGGTCTTTTTCTTTTTCCTTAAGCTTATACTCTAATTGAGGAAGCTGATTTATACTCATAAAGGTTAATATGTAACATATTTAATAATGACAAGCAAAATAAGTGGCTGGGACACTGAACATGGGTAATTCTCTAGAAGCCCCAAAATTTTAAATCACTCAAAATTGATTCTATCCACTTGATTGGCAATCTACGAATATCTAGGAAGGATCTTCCATAATAGTTCAATTTATCATTTGGCAACAACATATATGCTACCAAAATAAAAGAAAAACACCTATTTCAGACAATATGTTGAGATCTTAAGTTTTAAAAGTAGCTAGGCATGGTGGTTTATGCTTGTAATCCCAGTAATCAGGAGGCAGAGGTAGGAGGATTGTGAGTTCAAGGCTGGCCTGGGCTGCATAAAGACACCCTTCCCGGAATAAATGTATAAAATAACAGTCACCAGAGGAAGAGTGAATTGGTAAGAAGGAACATTTTTGCATGTCATTTATTTAAAACAGGGAACTTAAAGAATTTATCGGTGTAAAATCTCATCAAGTATTGGGTAAAAGAAGAACACATCTTTCTGACATGTTTTTTTCCCCCAGTACTGGGTCTTGATCATTTGGTTTTGGAACTGAGCTGTATCACTAGCCCCTTCCCCTTTTTTAAGAGAAGGTCTGGCTAAGTCACTACATTTCCCAGGCTGGGCTTGAATTTACAATCCTTCTGCCTCAGCCTGCCAGAGAGCCTGGGATTACAGGTGTGCATCACTACATCTGGCCAGTATTTTCTTATGGTATATGGAGAACAGCATACACGTAAGAGCTCATTACAGTTGTATGTGTTGTCAAACCAGAGGGATTAAATACTGTCTAAGCCAGAATAATGTGCAAATAGAATAGTGTGAGTTCAAGGATAACTCAACTTGAAGGCTTCTTCAAAGATCACACATCAGAGAGGTCTTTCCGTGCCAGATGACTCCAGGAACCCAAAAGAGAGACATAATTAAGCAGTAAAACATGGCAGGAATAACCTCTGACTATATAGCATGCCAGAGGTTCATCCAAGGCATGAAATAATGGTCCTGGAAGGTATGGTCACTGCTGTTACATGAAGAGGAAATGAATAATTGAAGTTAGGAGAGTTGCTTCATGAGTTGTTTTTCCCGTTGTTGGGTAATATTGCCCTGTGTATAGTACACGTGACCATTACTTGTATCCAGCATTCTGAAACTGTATTTACTCCAGAGCCTTAATTAAAACCTCCACAGAATTGGCAGTCTCCTCATTTACTTAGCCAAGCAAAAACCAAGCAATTCTGATACAAACTTGCAAACTCATAGTC